TGCTGTCCGGTCGCCTATAACTGCACTCGTGAGTGTATTTTTATCACGGCGAGACGCGCGAGTTACTTTAAATCACCTTACCAATGGTCCTCTTTATTTCTTTTCAAGACCACCATCCGTCCACAATGGAGCCGCTATCGGGAAACGGTGAGTTTGAATTGTTGTCGCACTTACGAGGCAGTTCTCTTAACTGAATTCTAGAAAGGCGGATGACGCTAGGCGAGAGATTTTCTGGAAACTCGATAAAGTGACTCGATCAAGCTTGGTGCTTTATTGCTTACGCGAGAGAAGCTTAGTTTGTAATTCATCTTTTTTTCTTTTTGCTAATCTAACACTTCAGCGAGAAGAAAAAAATATTTTAGAATTTGATGTTTTAGAGGTGAGAAATATCTTGCAATTTTTCCGATATTGAGTTAAGAGTCTTGCTTTGGGAAAATTTCGATTTACAAATTCAACGCTAGTAGAGATAGCTTAATATGATAAATGCGATGCAGCGCGAGCAAACAAAGATTGTTCTACATATATTGGCATTGTGTGTACGAGCGGATAACTTATCAAAGTTCGCCCCCGGGAATAGAAAACTTCAAGAAAATCGGGCTATTAGGGATTATTCCGAAATTCACCGCCGTGCGACTAAAGCTTTCCGCCGAAGCGCGCTCTCGAAAGTTGTGATGAAATGTGTAACTTAATAACGAAGAGTTACTGTGCTAACGTTATATCACCTCACGACACAAGGATTCTACCTCCGGATAACCGACGAGGTTCATTTAATGCTCGGTAGTCTCATCGGTATGGTTCAAGCTATAAGTTTCAAGAAAATACTATAACAATACTATAATAATATATATTATTTAAATTAAACACAGTGTTAATTTTTTTATATCAAGAAATTAGGAGATATTCTTATAGATATATTTTAATTAAGAACTATGCAATTAAATTTGAAATATCGATCTTTTACCGCAAGTGTTCAATATCCATCAACAAACAGAGCGCTAACGAGCCTCGTATTAAAATTTTCCGTTAAAGTAAAATCTACTTAAGACTAACTAGGGGGATTAAAAGTTTGTTATTTTTTAATTCTCTTAGTTCGCTCATAACTTGAAAACTGTGAAAGCCTCGTCGTTTTTCTCAATTCCTCTATCGATATTTGCGGTCCGGGTGCGCGACTTTAAAACACGTTTTGTACACCACGACGGGGTCCTGGATTCTCTCGTTAAGAGATCCGACATCCGTGGAGGAACGTGTACCGCGATAAAGAGAATGGCGCCCGACACTCTTTGCTCCGGAACGGAAGCTGCAAGCTGCGCCGCTTCGAATTGCCGAGATTGTCGAGGTTCATTTAACGCCCGCTTTCTACGTGGCCGCTTAAATTTAAGCCGGGCTTAAAATCTCGGCCGCTACAACGCGACGGCTGTCACTGGCTGCCGGGACATTCGGGGACGGCTTAATTTTAAACGAGCACACGGGAAACCACCCCCGTCAAATGGGCGATTGTGAGCCTCGTCGCGACGACTGACCATGAAAAGTCGTAAATAACTATTCCGAACCATATACAACCACTCGTTAATTTCTCCCGGGACGAGCAAACATCCTCGAGATCGTCTCATTTGCTCGTCAGAACGAGGCTATTATGGGCTAATAGGACGACACCATCAAAAGAGCAAAGTTATTATCACCAGAATATAACTTTATTGAAATAAAATGTCTAGAAAATATAGAAATATATGCGATTTAAAATTGAAATCAAAATTAAAAAATTAGATTTTATAATAATTATAATTACGATTTTATAGATTATTCTACAATTTTATGCACATTCCGGTAAAATATACAAAATTCCTTCCTTTTTCTGTACCATGAGATATCTAAAAATCTATACATTCGGGAGATATGTCGATATTAGAGGGACATGCTCCTCTAATATCCGGATGTCCGCGCGGACGATAAGTCGAGAACGGAATCGCGCCGTCTGCGGGAGCCAGATTTTTGCGTTCTCACGGTTCGGACGTTCATCCAGGATGTCGCGTGGGCGATCGCGCTTATGCCGAGGGCGAGATGGTCCGCGACATCGAGTGGAAGGCCACATGCGACAATTGTTTCTGCGCGATGGGCGCCATACGGTGCGTTCCGCTTGCGTGCGCGCCACCACTTCAAGGCTGCAGCCCGATCGTGCGGGAAGGACAATGCTGCCCGTCCACCTACAACTGCAGTGAGTACATGCAAAAGTTTTCGTTGCATCGAGCCTGCCGGGCGCACACGCAACATCTGGCGCATTCATGCACAGTTCACACGGCCGGATTGTGTTTTCCGCTAAATTAATCGCGAAATTCTTGGGAATATTGACTACCCCTTCCATTTTATTTTCTAAAGGCTATTAAATATTGAAATACAAAAAAAAAGGGCGATACATTGGAAAATAGCGCGAAAAATACGGAACTATTAAAAATATATCGTATAAATAATATTATTTCGAATAATACTCTGATAAATTCTTTTCATTAAAAAATACGATGGAATAAATAAAAGAGGGTGACAAATATATATATATATATACAGTAATATTATAAAATATATCGTATTATTTCGAATAATACTCTGATAAATTCTTTTCATTAAAAAATACGATGGAATAAATAAAAGAGGGTGACAAATATATCAAATATATATAAAGCCTCGTCGTTTTTCTCAATTCCTCTATCGATATTTGCGGTCCGGGTGCGCGACTTTAAAACACGTTTTGTACACCACGACGGGGTCCTGGATTCTCTCGTTAAGAGATCCGACATCCGTGGAGGAACGTGTACCGCGATAAAGAGAATGGCGCCCGACACTCTTTGCTCCGGAACGGAAGCTGCAAGCTGCGCCGCTTCGAATTGCCGAGATTGTCGAGGTTCATTTAACGCCCGCTTTCTACGTGGCCGCTTAAATTTAAGCCGGGCTTAAAATCTCGGCCGCTACAACGCGACGGCTGTCACTGGCTGCCGGGACATTCGGGGACGGCTTAATTTTAAACGAGCACACGGGAAACCACCCCCGTCAAATGGGCGATTGTGAGCCTCGTCGCGACGACTGACCATGAAAAGTCGTAAATAACTATTCCGAACCATATACAACCACTCGTTAATTTCTCCCGGGACGAGCAAACATCCTCGAGATCGTCTCATTTGCTCGTCAGAACGAGGCTATTATGGGCTAATAGGACGACACCATCAAAAGAGCAAAGTTATTATCACCAGAATATAACTTTATTGAAATAAAATGTCTAGAAAATATAGAAATATATGCGATTTAAAATTGAAATCAAAATTAAAAAATTAGATTTTATAATAATTATAATTACGATTTTATAGATTATTCTACAATTTTATGCACATTCCGGTAAAATATACAAAATTCCTTCCTTTTTCTGTACCATGAGATATCTAAAAATCTATACATTCGGGAGATATGTCGATATTAGAGGGACATGCTCCTCTAATATCCGGATGTCCGCGCGGACGATAAGTCGAGAACGGAATCGCGCCGTCTGCGGGAGCCAGATTTTTGCGTTCTCACGGTTCGGACGTTCATCCAGGATGTCGCGTGGGCGATCGCGCTTATGCCGAGGGCGAGATGGTCCGCGACATCGAGTGGAAGGCCACATGCGACAATTGTTTCTGCGCGATGGGCGCCATACGGTGCGTTCCGCTTGCGTGCGCGCCACCACTTCAAGGCTGCAGCCCGATCGTGCGGGAAGGACAATGCTGCCCGTCCACCTACAACTGCAGTGAGTACATGCAAAAGTTTTCGTTGCATCGAGCCTGCCGGGCGCACACGCAACATCTGGCGCATTCATGCACAGTTCACACGGCCGGATTGTGTTTTCCGCTAAATTAATCGCGAAATTCTTGGGAATATTGACTACCCCTTCCATTTTATTTTCTAAAGGCTATTAAATATTGAAATACAAAAAAAAAGGGCGATACATTGGAAAATAGCGCGAAAAATACGGAACTATTAAAAATATATCGTATAAATAATATTATTTCGAATAATACTCTGATAAATTCTTTTCATTAAAAAATACGATGGAATAAATAAAAGAGGGTGACAAATATATATATATATATACAGTAATATTATAATTAAAAAATACTTTGAAAAGAAGTTTTTATAAAAATATGTATCTTTGTTATACAGACTTAAATTTCTGCGAATTTTAGTTCTTTCAATTCCCTATTTTCCGTTAAAATTCTGCATAAAAAACTTTTTGTTAATTATATGTAAGATCAATCTTTTAATTTATCTAATAAGAAATTGAAATGTTTTTCTTTATCTATTTACTTTCTAAACACGCACACAGTTTTCAACATCGCGTGTGGTAGTAAAGGAAGTCAGTCATGATTAACGCGGAGGATCGGAATCTCGCTCGGTTAAGTCTAAAAATATTTTACGGAAAGCGAAAATATTTATTTGATGCATGTGCCGTTGCGAGAGAATAACGAACGTTGCTGTCAACAAACAGAGCGTCTCGTCTCCGTATTTAAAAATATTTCACCGGATATCTCGCCGTTCGCGAAAGGAAAATAAAATATTTTGTTGGGTTTTCCATGAGCGTAAAAGCGAATTAAACGCGTCGATCCTTGGAAGCGAGAAACATCTGCGAATTAAAATGGGATTTAATTTCCGCACGAGAGAGCGTTTATTCGAGATAGTCAATATGGCTTCTCCGCGAACGTGATAGCCATCGATATTAATATCGCGGCAAATAGAAATATACATCTATCGAATAAAATCGGCCACATATAACTTAAAAGCATGTTTCATACACTGCCGTTAACAAATGCCGTGTCTCGTTTAAAAAAATCCATTACATTAAAAAATTTAATTTTATATTATTTTTTATAGCTTTATTTGTAGTTACATAAGCAGTTTTTTTCCAAACATTTCACACACTCAGCCCTTATTACTTTAACCGATGTACAATATCTATTTGTATATAATATACGTCGATTCTCTATTACTTGATTTCTTATATTTTATTAATTTCATATATTTTTATAGTTCCGTATGTAATAATAAAGAAAAAATAATAGCAGAGACAACAGATTTTTTTTTAAATTTACAAGCATATTTTTGATACGATACGATGTTTGTGATTTTTCTCTAGTCGAAGTTGTGTTATAATCAAAATGCATAAATAGCATACGACAATATGTTTCGATAAGGAAAACACAAGCGGGATCTACTTTTCTTAAAAAAATAACATTCTCTGTCTTCATTTTATAAGCATGATTTTATCATTCAAATGTTGTATCTTGAGTGAGAAATTGAGAGATTTATACATTCAAGGCGGCAACATCGAAGTAAAGGCCACCCAAAACTACGCATCCTACGCCTTTATCAGCAAGGACTACGCCAAATTTCGCAAGGAGACCAACTTTTTCGTACGTTTTTATGTTTTCTTACGCTTTATGCTGTAAATTATCCAAGTTATCGTCTTTCTCTCTATCTCGAACTATAAAACTAATTAATTGCAACTAACTATTCTAAATAAGTTTATATGCTATTCTCCAAATTCCAAAGTTACCAAATAGTAGGAACAAACTCGCGGGGGATCGAAGTTAAGGGGCGGTGATTTATGTAGTCGGCGGAATTTAATCAATGAAATCTACCCGAAACATTGGTTATAAACGCGTTAGACATTCGACTTAGTTTAGGAATTTGGGGATGAGGCATACCTTATTGGATCACGTAACGCGATACGAGTTGCCGATCAAGAGACGATGTATCTATTATGGACGTGTTGCGTTATTATTAATGGGTAGCGTCGTTAGTACAGAATGCCATTTATGTAGGGGAATTTGAATCTCGCGAGATACACGGGAATCTACTCAGACAATGGAGACGACTGCGGCGGATCCCGAGGTTCGTCGCAATTCTTGAATATGTGGGTACGTCGATCGCGCGTTAATCTTAAAGAACATAACGAGATCTGACAATTCCTATCTAGGAATTACAAAGCCTATTATTATAACACTATATGTAATATGTAATAAATGTTTTAAAAATTGTATTTCATAAACAAAAAAAAATTTTATACATGTGTTTAATTTATTAAATTTTGCGATTTTTTAGTTTCTTTAACTACCTCAAAAAAGTTTTTTTATTCCTGTATGTGTTTCTGCTTTTTATTTACTTTGACTGTCGAGATGCTTCCGCATTTATTAAAATTCTGCATTATTTAATTTGCACGTTTGTGGGATAAATTCGTGTTTTTTAACAATTAAACAATTTATGATGTTTATATTGTCATCGATTTCTATATAATTGTCCGATGTCGAAAAATTGGATTTCACATGTAATTGGAATCGAGTTTTTATATTTAACGCGAGCTAAGCAGGATCGTTAAATTGATTCAATCGATTAAGTAACAACCGAGGGAAAGGTTTGAAGCCAGCATAAATAAAACTTTATAAAAAATCTCTCTCTCTCTTTCTATAAGATAATTTTAATCAAATTATATAATTTTAATTAAAGTACGAAATCTATTATTAATTGTTTAGCCTGCGATTGATCAATCCACGAATCTGCCCGTTGAAGGACGAGGTCACAGAGTGGTCGATGAACGGATTAGCACTAGTACGATCGATCTCGAGGAGGACTCGTTTGTCACCACTTATTCTACTGCTTGGCCCTCAACCATGGAGACCGACATCATGGACAATGAAATCTTGATAGGGACGATGGAATACAAATCGACCTTGGAAGTGACAACCACGGCGACTTCGACAAACGAGGTTTCAATCTCATGATATATATAATTCACATAACAAAAATTTTTAATTTTTAATATTTTAACATACTGTTTTTTTTTTTTAATAAAGCCGATACAATAAATCAATTTATGCGTTAATTATTATTGTATACTCATTCGACAGTTATCGAGTAACACTGAATCAACAACAGCATTCGAGTCGACGCTGGCATCCACTAAAGACGCTGATTCCGTCGCTAATTCCTGCACGACGTGTTCTACGAACACGTTTACGGATTCCACGATCGCGTCGACGGAGGATCCATCCAGCACGGATGGCTCGACGATCTCATCACCGGAATGGGCGACGGAATTATTGCTCGGTAATGGAAACGATGAAAACGAAGATACCGATGGGAACGAAAATAAAAACGCGAGAGAAAACGAGGAGCGGAACGAGGACAAGACTACCAAGGCGGGGACGAAAATGGGGGAGAAAGTGGATATAATTGAGAAAAACAAAGCTACGACGCATCCTTCCGCGATTTCCACGGATGTAGGGAATGTGCTTTGCTTATCCCAGAAATTATCCGGGAACTCTACGCTCGTTAAGGTAACGATGAGGGGGAAGAAATAATGATTGGAATTTTCATAAAAAAATAAAATAATCCAATGAGATATTTTTCTTAAAATCAAGTAAAAAATAATCAGAGATTTTTATAAGCTCGAGTTATTTTGTAGATATAGATTCATGCCGAATATTTACGTGATTTTTAGATTAAATATTGTAAATTATATCCGAACATTTCCAACATTATTACGAGATTATCTTGAAATATTTTTGCGAAAATTCTTTCATACTAATGAAAAAACATCTAGAATTATATCGAAAATTTTAATCGATGTTAGTCGCAAATATGTGGTGTTAGTTCGTTTAAATTTATATGTGCATATAATATTTATTAATTTATCGCGCGGATCTATATATTTCACTAAAATCTTACCGCTGCAAAGAGAGGGCAAGTAAATTTGTTACGATTAAGCACCTATGGCGTAGAGAACGGAGGCCGTTGATAAGAGACCCGTCAACAGTCCATCGTCGACGATACTCATGCCAGACGACATTCTCGTGATGAACGTGACAGTCAAGACGAATGTCTCGGTGAGTCATATACAAGGTGTCACGATAAATCCAATTAGATCCATCCCGCCGGACGTTGAGGCCATTCTGAACATCACTCATCGAGAAAAGGGCGAGGATTATGATTACGACTACAGCGAGCAGACTTTGCCGCCATCATTGCCAAACGTCAGGTGAGATTGTTATCACATTTCGATCCATCATTCATTCTCTATCCCGTCCGTGATTTGACATCGGGACTTCCGCGAACACATGCGAGCGGCGCGAAGGAAGAACATTTTTTTTTTATGAGTTTCATAATTGTGATATACTTTTAGAATACATGGAAATATCGACAGGTCGATGTAATGGATAGAGTGTTTTATTTCTTTTTATTAGTCAGCATGATGCGCAATCAATTTTTCACGCTTATAATGGAACTGCTTTTTTTGAGTTTTTTTGGCCGGGGAATATTGCCATTTAATTAAATTGAAATCGTTTATCGAAAACAACTAATTGATACCGATTTATAGCGGTTACCGCTTCAACAGCAGAAAATATACAACGCCAATCTGGTGTTCGCATCTCTAACAGTTTTTAAAATTTATTTGTGTCACATTTTTACGCAAACGATTTTAATACGAAAAATAACTGATAGATCTTTAAAGAAAACTAGATACTTTCTTGCTATAAATCTGTTATTTCCTCTTAATTTCTTCTCGTGATAATAATTCCAAAATGTAATTAAAATTATTTCAGTGGTTGTATCTATCACGTTAGCAGAAAATTAAATATCGCTATTGTAGGATAATACCCTTCGTGGCGGCAGACGCATTAGTGAAAAGCAAGGACGTACCTTTGCTTGAGACTGGATATCCGCCTGGTTCAGTAATGGTGTCCCCTGAGCTACGACCGACCGACACTTCCGGTTTTTACGACATCGCAACCCAGGAGAACCGATTTAGCCCACCGGTAGAGACCGATATTTTAACATACTGTTTTTTTTTTTTAATAAAGCCGATACAATAAATCAATTTATGCGTTAATTATTATTGTATACTCATTCGACAGTTATCGAGTAACACTGAATCAACAACAGCATTCGAGTCGACGCTGGCATCCACTAAAGACGCTGATTCCGTCGCTAATTCCTGCACGACGTGTTCTACGAACACGTTTACGGATTCCACGATCGCGTCGACGGAGGATCCATCCAGCACGGATGGCTCGACGATCTCATCACCGGAATGGGCGACGGAATTATTGCTCGGTAATGGAAACGATGAAAACGAAGATACCGATGGGAACGAAAATAAAAACGCGAGAGAAAACGAGGAGCGGAACGAGGACAAGACTACCAAGGCGGGGACGAAAATGGGGGAGAAAGTGGATATAATTGAGAAAAACAAAGCTACGACGCATCCTTCCGCGATTTCCACGGATGTAGGGAATGTGCTTATCCCAGACGAGAAATTATCCGGGAACTCTACGCTCGTTAAGGTAACGATGAGGGGGAAGAAATAATGATTGGAATTTTCATAAAAAAATAATGGATACCAATGAGATATTTTTCTTAAAATCAAGTAAAAAATAATCAGAGATTTTTATAAGCTCGAGTTATTTTGTAGATATAGATTCATGCCGAATATTTACGTGATTTTTAGATTAAATATTGTAAATTATATCCGAACATTTCCAACATTATTACGAGATTATCTTGAAATATTTTTGCGAAAATTCTTTCATACTAATGAAAAAACATCTAGAATTATATCGAAAATTTTAATCGATGTTAGTCGCAAATATGTGGTGTTAGTTCGTTTAAATTTATATGTGCATATAATATTTATTAATTTATCGCGCGGATCTATATATTTCACTAAAATCTTACCGCTGCAAAGAGAGGGCAAGTAAATTTGTTACGATTAAGCACCTATGGCGTAGAGAACGGAGGCCGTTGATAAGAGACCCGTCAACAGTCCATCGTCGACGATACTCATGCCAGACGACATTCTCGTGATGAACGTGACAGTCAAGACGAATGTCTCGGTGAGTCATATACAAGGTGTCACGATAAATCCAATTAGATCCATCCCGCCGGACGTTGAGGCCATTCTGAACATCACTCATCGAGAAAAGGGCGAGGATTATGATTACGACTACAGCGAGCAGACTTTGCCGCCATCATTGCCAAACGTCAGGTGAGATTGTTATCACATTTCGATCCATCATTCATTCTCTATCCCGTCCGTGATTTGACATCGGGACTTCCGCGAACACATGCGAGCGGCGCGAAGGAAGAACATTTTTTTTTTATGAGTTTCATAATTGTGATATACTTTTAGAATACATGGAAATATCGACAGGTCGATGTAATGGATAGAGTGTTTTATTTCTTTTTATTAGTCAGCATGATGCGCAATCAATTTTTCACGCTTATAATGGAACTGCTTTTTTTGAGTTTTTTTGGCCGGGGAATATTGCCATTTAATTAAATTGAAATCGTTTATCGAAAACAACTAATTGATACCGATTTATAGCGGTTACCGCTTCAACAGCAGAAAATATACAACGCCAATCTGGTGTTCGCATCTCTAACAGTTTTTAAAATTTATTTGTGTCACATTTTTACGCAAACGATTTTAATACGAAAAATAACTGATAGATCTTTAAAGAAAACTAGATACTTTCTTGCTATAAATCTGTTATTTCCTCTTAATTTCTTCTCGTGATAATAATTCCAAAATGTAATTAAAATTATTTCAGTGGTTGTATCTATCACGTTAGCAGAAAATTAAATATCGCTATTGTAGGATAATACCCTTCGTGGCGGCAGACGCATTAGTGAAAAGCAAGGACGTACCTTTGCTTGAGACTGGATATCCGCCTGGTTCAGTAATGGTGTCCCCTGAGCTACGACCGACCGACACTTCCGGTTTTTACGACATCGCAACCCAGGAGAACCGATTTAGCCCACCGGTAGAGACCGAAGGTATTTTATGATTTTCTACATGAAATCTCAAATGAATGAGGAGAACGCAAAAATATACGAGTGAGAGATTGTAAAAGAGAGAACTAGATATATGAATATTAGAAAATAAATTTAAAAAATGTACATTGCTTTCATATATCTATTCCTTTGCTTTTCTAGGAGATTTATTTATTTTTGATTAAACTATGTTCTATGTTATATTTGGAAAAAAGTAGGATGCTGGAGCCATTGATTTGCTGTTTTAAAATTAATCGCACATCTGTATAAATCCCAAAGAGTAATAGAACTTCGTTTATGTAGGTGGTTTTGTGCCTAGAGAGCCGCCGTATTTCGATGTTCCCTACCGTTCCACAGACTTAAATCTTGAAATTGGTACTGGAGTTACGGTGGTTCCAGTTCAGATTACGAAGCCATATCGAAAAGACCATGGTATATACGATATTTTTTATTAATCTATCAAATTTTTATAGCAACAGTGCTTTATATCGCTAATTGACATGTTTTGCCTGATCAGACTTGTCTAGTGAATGTCATTTCGAAAATATGGAATACCGTCACGGTGAAATCTTGCCACGGACTGCTCTCTGCATAATTTGCATGTGTTATTACGGGGAAGTCGTATGTTCCTCAGAGAAATGTCCCCCATTGAAAATTAGTTGTCATAGGATCAAGTCCGAGAAGACGTGTTGCGGAAAAATTATTTGTGGTATATATTTCATTATTCTTCTTTTCTATTGTTATAAAATAATCGCTTTTGATATGAACTCTCATATAAGTTAATTATTACGCGCGTGTGAACTAGATATAAGTTATTAATTTATCAACAAGATATTCTCTTATAAATACATAAATAACAATTTTCTTTAACGAAACATTAATAATAATCACACTTTTTGCTCAAATATATTACAAGAGCTAAAATGTGTGTATCATATTCTCATAACTTGCAAGTCTTGTTTAAAAATTGAAAATTTGTATTATACATGGATTAATCACGAGAATAATTTTTGTTCTCAAGAATATAGATTTGAAATATATATCTTCTCGTATTTTTATGATATATTTTATCCGCTATCACAGTTGAAGACGGCGAATCGCCAACGGTGGTGCTCGATCGTGCCGATGCCACGGCGCTTTCTCAACGACAGTCCACAGTGTCTCCGGATCCCTTTCGCGATGTCATCAAGACCGAGCCAGCCCCCGACTTACCTTCCCTAATCGAAGACATGATCCCCTACCTGGTTGAACGCGGCATCACAACGCCCAGGCCGACGTCTATGACGGCGTCGGTCCAGAACTTGGCGGATCGATTGCAACACCCGCCGAACTTTGACTTTACGGAGCAAGTGTCGCTTATACGGCCGCCCTTCGATTACACGGAGGAAACGGTCGATTCCTCTTTCTTGTCAAAAACAAAGTACGGAGCGAATCGTAAAGTACCTTCAAAGGATATCGTCTCGTTAACGTACGATTCCAAGAATCACATCATGGATCTTAAGCCCGTCGAAAATCCCGTAGCAGGAATCTTCGGCTACGATAGAACGCACTTGACCAAGTTAAATCGCACGAACAACGATTCGAAGAACGATTTCCGTCGGAGTAACATCACGGAGCAGAAGTTCGTGAAACAAAATGTAACCAACATCGACGATAGAAACTTCACCAGCAAAGTGAACAATCATACCACGAAGTACGACAATCATACCGAATCGGGTAATACGCTGAACGAAGACGAGAGGACCACCGAGGACACTATCTTTTCATTGGATAGTATCCTTGAGCTGCTATTCTCCTCAAATAGCAGTTCTAGCAACAAGCTGCTCAAAACCACGAAGACGCCACATGTTTCCTCCGTGGGTGGTGAACGAGAGGATCAGGAGGAGACTCTTGTTGCTTCATCGACGAGTGCGGAGAGGTTAACCGAGGAGACGGAAACCGTCGAGACGTCCTCGAAAGTCCTCGACAACGAGATACCAATGTCCGTGGGCAGTTTGCTGAAGCTGGCGGGCTGCAATATATACGGCCGAATGTATCGCGTCGGTAGAATCATCACGGAGCTCTCGAGTTCTTGTATGGAGTGCAGGTGCACGGAAATTGGTGTCCAGTGCAAACAGTTAGAATGTTGATCGGATACCGATTTCTTCCGTGCATCAAATACCGATTTAACGTCATCGTAAGAAAACATCTCGCGAATATTCGAGAATGAGATAAGACTGTTCTGTCGAAAAGATTGACAGTGCATATATATTGCGTGGGATATTTCCGAGAAAGGATAAAAAAGCTATTTTATGGTTTAATGCGGACATTAATTCCGTCTTTTAAATTTTGTTTTTTTCGTTGAAATCTATAAAGTTTACGACAATAATGAAAAATCCACAATATATTTTTGGGATCAAAATAATCTGAGATATTATAATTGTATGCGTGTGTGTGTGTAAAAAATGAAATCTTTATAGAAAGTTATATTAAGATTTGGAAAGAGAGAAATGATATTCAAATATAAGTATTTTATATAATAAATATTATATAAAAT